TTTTGTATCGATGCATCGATCCAACAGCTGAGGATCCGATGCATCGATACGTCCGCAAGAGTATCGATGCATGTTTTTTTTTTTCCTCCGGTCTATTTTTATCAATTTGCTCCTGTTAACATGTTTTTGTGTAATTGTGTAAGTTGATGGAATTTTTCGGGTTCCAATAACCTCTTCTTTAAAATGTGCATAAAGAAATACGGATAAAAATAGCTTCTATTTTAAACTTAGTGACCCTTCATGAAGCCGTTTATTTGCTATGTTTTTACCAGACAATCTGAATGAACACTGACTGAGCTACACACAGGCGGAGTATTAAGATAAGATTACAGGAGGAATCAAATTCACAATGCACTGAGTTTGATTTGTATATTAAAATATGAGTAAAACCTTCAACGTTTCTATTTCCTTTACAATCATCAATCGCTTTATAAGTCACATGAAGCTCTGATAAAAACTTACGAAATATAGAATTTGATGTGTCCCAACGAAAAGAAAGAAAATGCTGCAATTTTAATACTTATTCAAGGCAACTTTAACAGAGAAATAAAGCATCCAAACAGCCTTCTGGCAGAAAGTGGTTAAAAATGATTTCTGACCCTACCTGCTGCTCAAAAAGCATGGTGTTAATAGCCTGGCGGCAGGGCAGGATCATCATGGGAAATCCTACGGCCACAGACATCATGAAGCCCACGCGGATCATTTCTGTCACCAGGTTGGACGGAAAGTTCATCAGCACGTTGCCTTCAATGTTCTCTGTGAAGCTGACGTAGCCGAAGAAGCCCACCTGCTCAAGGATGAAATGATGGACAAGGAAACTAAATTCAACTAAAAGTTTTGGTTTTTTCCTTGATCTTATGAGAAAGAAAAGTGAGAATGGCAGGAGTGATGAAAAGGGTCCGGCTCTACTCACGGTGATGTAGAAGATCGTGACCACGTTGAGGGCGGAGGTGAAGATGGTGCTCATGCGTTTGACCGATGGCTCATCCAGGCTATCGTACGTTGGCAGCACTTGTCTGTGAAGGACAAACGGGCCAAAACAACAAACTGGGCATGCAGCCTAAAACAAAGCCCCGCTGGAGCTTCTGTTCTGTTTGCTACATGCTAATCACGTCAGGAAGTGCGCTTAACAAATGTTCAGGAAAATGTTTCTGTCCATGAAAACCTTCTGAGCAACTTATTCCAGAATAAACACTTGGATCGGCTCTGATTTAAGGAGCGGACTCATAGTGCTGCTCACTGCTCAGATGAAGCATCTCTGTCAGACATGCAGTCATCTCATTTCACTTATAAAGTTACGTTTTTATCAGCTTCATGGAGCTCACCTCAAATTTTATTTTCCTCTTAATGTGATGAGAGATAAAAACTTTGTTTAATCTTTTAACAAAAACGCCCAGATAAAAACAGCTGTTTAAAAACCGAGGTGACTAAACTGGTTGTTCTTTCAGGATTCTGCAGACTGCTGTTTTTAGTCTGACAGTTTCTGAATCACTTCATGTATATTAGGAAACAAAACTAGGGCTTCCTAACTGGCTTTAAATCTTAAACATAAAATAAAACATCTTACAGCAATGTCAGAAACACAGAAAAAGATTAATTAAATAACCTCCACTAATAATACTGCATGGGTATTTGTAATTCCACTAAATAAAACTCTAACCTTTTCATCTTTTTTGTATTTCTTTACAGTAAAAAGGTGAAAAACTGCAATAAAACCTACTTATTTGGCTGCAGAGATGTCTGAACTCTAAAAATACACAGATTCCACAACAGCTTCTTCCCCCCCGCCATCAGACAGCTGAACTGTTGAGCAAACTGGGCCAACTTCACTCAAAGAGATGTTTCTAGAGGTCAAAGGTCAACCAGCCCCCCCACTTTATTCAAATTAGACAAAATTGGCGTCAAACGTTTGTGTTACGTTTGTGCAGCAAAAATTTTTGTTTGTGCCGCTATCATTTTTTTAAGTTTAAAATGATAGAATCATCGGTTAGCAACTTATAATTTATATGAAAACAAAATTCAGAATGAACAAATGTTCCCTGACCTTTGATGGCTTCTACAAACAATTATTAATATCATTAAAATGATAGCAGTACAAAAATGTATATATTTTAAATGTATAAAAATGTATAAATTTTTTATATATTTATTTAAAATATTTTACATTTAAAATTAATTTTAAAATTTTATATTTTTGTATGGCAAACAATTTCATTTGTACTGATGTCTCTTTAACGATAATAATATTATTTCGTAGAGGTCATCAAAGGTCACTTAACATCTGTTTTTGCTGCACAAACGTTTGACACTAATTTTGTCTGGTTTGAAGAAGGTGGGGGGGGCAACTTCACTCAGGTCTCTAAATCATGTCCCAGACTCTGCATCACACAAACACTGCATAATTGCTCCATGCATAGTTATTGCTCTGAACTTCCATATTAATGCGTTTTTGCACCATTTCTTTTCTCCCACACTGTTTACATTTCATCATTGCTGCACTTTAGGGAATGAAAATGCTCTGAAAGCTGTACAAAATGAAGTTTCTTTTAGTATCCACTCTGTGGATACAAAATGGCAATAAAGTTGTCTAAGTCTTAAAATAGCCTCATCTGACTTTCATTTCAACACCTGACAAATAACTAAAAACAATTAGCCTACATTCCTCAGTAACAGCAGCCTCACTTGTCTGTTGTCTGTACAACATCATATGAGCACGTACTTACAGTGCTTATGCTAAACACTGACATACCATTAAATATTATTAACTGTCTTTTTCTACTTTGTTTCCCCTTTATTGAAATCTTCCCCGCATTTTCCATTAAGCCAAAGAAATAAGTATGGCGTCACATTTGTTTCAAAAAGCCCGAGAACAAAATAAACATACTCGCATGTACGTTCATGTTACTTATGTAACAACTACCAGGAGGAGGCTAACAAAGTAGCTTAACATACATGCAAATGTATGCTAATTTTGCTCACAGGCAGTTTTGAAATAAATGTGATGCCATAAATAAGTAACTGATTTGGCCATCAGAGGTAACCAAGCTACAACATTCTTTGCATGTAATGCATGAGATTTGATTCATAATTAGATTCTTAGAGGTAATATGATAACAATTGCATCCAGGTAGTATTATTGTAAAACTGCTCACAATTACACTGCAGTGATGACAGCAGTTTGATACAGTGCCGACCTAACAAAGACCGATGCTAGTCTGGGTCGGATAAGATGCGTTTGCTGATCTTGTTTTTCAGAATCCATCCAATTTTTCTGTCGATTTCTCAATGCATTTTGGAAACATGGTCATGGTCACCAAAATCATATCAGAGTGCATTTTTGTGATCTGTAATCATTTTAATCATTGCTCTTAACAACCTGAAACAAATCCGGAAGAGAGAATGATCTCATATTAATGTCTAAAGGTGAGCTTTTCTAAAGTAGGATAATATGACAGGTGACCTAAAAATAGAACACCACAAGTATTGCCTAGTAGATACTAAACAAAAAAGCTTTCAGTTGTGCTAATGTCGGCGTTCTCTAAGTTAATAGCCCCATTTACACCATCCTTTTGAACCCGTTCATAGATCGGTCTGAGCACGGTAACCGAGATAACAGTTGAAAGTAAACGGTATGCAGAACTGAACCAGACCGCGCCAGAAACAACTGAACCGCGCCAACATGGTACTAGTTCATCAGTGTGACTCTGTGGCGCGTTTCAGTCGTGGCTCAGTTCTCTGATAACAAAGAGCAGATGAGCAGAGCAAGTCATCTCCTGACAGTCAGCCTCCGTAATCAGGACAATTCAGAAAAATAAACGCTTCCTTACCGTAGCACATGATTTCTAGTGATGATTCTGCTTAGCAGTGTGATGAACCTTAACTCCTGTCCTGTTCTTTCCTGCGTCTGTAAACCCTGATAAGACTATTGTTTCTCGTATCCACTTCCCAAAACCCGACTCTGTCAAGTAAATTTACCGAAAGCCGTCTTCTCCGCCTGACTCTCCACAAACTTCCTGAATGTTACAGGTCCCGCCATGTTGATGTACTTTATTACCTATAGAGAACCGTAGTACTGTGGATCACTAGGAGGTGAGGAACCGTGCTACTGTGGTGTGTAAACAGTCGTGAGGAACTGAGTTCACCGCGGTTTTCATTGGGTGGTGTAAACGGGGCTAGTATCTCAAAGCTCAGCAATCAGAGATTTTCAAGTCAAGATATAAAGAGCAAATTAAGCAGCAGAAATGTGTCAATTATTGCAAAATGTAAGTAAATGAAAAACATGAGATGGATGTGATGATGGGTGTATAAAATGCTGGGAGTGTTTGTGTGTGTGTGGGGGGGGAGGTGACACAGAATAGGTGACAGTAGTAAAGGCTGGCTGAGGTAAAACCTGAATCGCCCCTTCTCTCTCTCTCTCTCTCTCTCTCTCTCCATAATTTCCTGCTCTGTGCTTTGGGAGGGGCTGGGTGTGCAGAGCGGGCCATTGACACATTAACCAGTAAATTTACAGGCTTTATAAATAAAAGCCAGTGCCTGACAGGTTTTAGAGCATTATAAACTTTCCTGGCAGACTCTTTTTTTCTCCCCTCGCTTCCTTTCTCTAACACAAAAGAGGAGCCACGGAGCAGAAATAAGAGAAGGAGCAAGAAGCCATAACTTTCTCCTTCTCTTGTTCTTTCCTAGCCTGTCTCACTTTCACACACTCTGATTTTTATTAGCTTCAGCCTTACCAGGATGCTATTCTTGACATTTTTTTATGTGCAAGCCATTAAATCTTTCAGCCAACATTAAATAAAACAGTAGGCATCTAATGGTCACTGAAACGTCCTTATTCAAAGGCTGATGTCCTCTGATCAAACTGAGGACAGATGATGGAGAAATTCACCAAAGCTAAAGGATTTTTTTCACCACGCAGCATTTTATAACATTCCCCTTAACTTTCTGTAAAAAACAAGAGTTTATTTTGGCATATAACAATATTTAGATGAAAAAAAAATGAAAATTATAAAAGCATTAAAAAGTAAGAAACTAAATACTCTAAAAACACAGATTTTTTTGGGGATGTTTAAACATTTTATGACAATATGAACTCTTGTTCTCAGGATTTGCTTTGGATGCAATAGCTGTTAGCAATATCAACTGATGCTTCATTCTGTAGTTGTTCTAAGTAGTGAAGAAAGGATCAACCATGATGGATCATTTCAAACCCCTTCTTCACATAAGCAATACAGCTGAAACAGGGACTAAACTATCATAGGAGCATGGCTGACAGCACGTGTGGATGCAGCGGCAAAGAGCTTCAACATATTCTATGCTTCAGCAGGTAGCAAACATTTTAAAACGCTGCGAGAAAGTGGTTCCACAACTCTGTACATCTTCAAAGGTCCCACATTATTAACTTCTTAAACATTCTGTAAAAGTCATACGTGTCCTGAGGCCTTTGTTTAAGGTTCACAAATGAAAAACAACTTTCCACCTCTCCACCTCTTAGCTTATGTGTGCTCTAAATGGGCTGTTGGAAAAGCTTTCCCTTAATGACATCATAAAGGGAATGCTTTTCCAACGATGGGCTGCTAAGTGGCAGCTCGTCCATCGCAGGACTGAATAAGGACATTTTTGGTAAAGCCTGCCAGCCTAACCTTTGACATATTTTCCTGCACAAACTGCAAAAACATGCTCTAGGTGCCTCATTACAAATATTTTTTTAAATTTTCAAATGTAAAATAATTTAAGCTCCTAGTTTTCTCTTGTTCCAACTCCTGACAGTCCAGCTGTCCAATTCATTTTTCCCTTACACACTCTTCTTTTCTTGAATCAACTCACCATTAGGCTAAAATTAAAACCTTTTCTCATTTTTTAGCAAACTAACTCATTTATCTTTTGGTGTTTAGAACTATGTATCATGTCATAAACCTGGGCTAACAGAACAGGAACCTACCCTACAGTGTATTTTTAGGCCTTATAGCACTCTGGTCGTTTACATTTTGTTGTTTCTGAACATTTTTTGACAGACCTGGATGATTAGTTTATAATAAAATCTTCTAGAAGTGTTCCTTAGTTAGCCTTAACATATTGATATTTTAGCAAGTTGTTATCCCAACTACAAGGTGGCGAGGCACAGTTAGAAGTTACTGCAGAACCTTCAGTATTTTTGTTGAGGTCATGGCAACATCCCTTTTACAAAGTCTTTTATATTCATGGGGAATTAGAAGTCCTCCAATTTTCTTCAGTTTTTATAAATGCATTAATTGGACCAACTTGTTAATTGATTAGCATAAGGACATATGAATAAAGCTTTCTGTGCCCTACTCCATAATAATATCTTTAAACAATTTCTGATTCTTTATAAGCTCCAGGAAAATTATGTCTTTTGTTTAAGAATGGAAAGAAGATATAAAACCCAATTAAACAGCTGAATTTTATTTTAGGTTAACCTGATTCAATATAATTGGAGACAGGAGGATAAAATACAACTTTGTGCTTTAATGGAATCAGAACCTGATTGACTGATGAATTGAATTCAGGGTTTGCACTCATGTAAAAAAGTAGAAAACTTCTTGAATTACTTCTTTTTAAGTTTGCTAGAGCAACATGTCAAAGCTTGGTTAATGTGTTAGCAACCATCAGAAGTAGAACTAAACATCTGAATTGTGCAAAAGAGCCTCTAAGCATAGCTGGTGTACTGAATATCAGGCTCAGGGTGGGACTGCGCTCAGATTTTCCAGGTTGGAACTAAATTCTTTTCTGGTTTTATTACATTTTCTTCCACAAGTTTTCTGCTCCAGAGGCCTTGAAATTGAAACTTGGGAATTTAGAGGCTTAAAATTAACAGTTTCTTTGACATTTTGATGGATGAACTGTTCATACAAGAAATTTAGACCAGATTCCCAAACTTCTGCCATCTCCTCCGTACAGAGGAATATTCTTGCTGCACACCTTGCGTGTTTTTCCAACAGGAGCCAAATGTTCCACATTATTCGGCCTCCATAAGCACAGGGCCAGCTCCCACCACGTCATAATAGTGATGTTAAGTAATGTTCTAGCTGAAAATAAACACATTTCATGAACGTAATAAAAATCCAATGTGCTAAGAGCTGTTTAATCAGCCTGTGAATACATCAGTGTGTCTGTAAGGTGGCGGCAGGCCAATGTGTTGATTAGTGGTTTGGCTGAAGCTAAGTGAGAGCTCGCCTCGCTCAGTATGACCACAGGCCAAGAAATCCCCCCTGCCAAATATCACTTAGCACAACGAGTGCTAAACAACGCTCACACAGAGACACACAAGTGTAGGTTTCCCTGGTTTAGGGTGACATGCACATGCCCACCACACCATGTTTAGTTAGCTCATGTCATTACATTAATTAAAGTCAGTTTTAGGTCTCCAGGCTTACAGCCACCCACTCCAACCAGCTTTACTCACTTACTCTGGCACAAAACAAAACAATACGCCACAATCGACCACCCAAACATCTGTGTCTTAATGATCTCACCAGAACACTTCTCCAACACCACATTCAGATCTAACACAAACTCTGTTAATTTAGTCGGTTCAGGCTGCCCACAACCCGCCGAAGCCAGCGCAAACCCCCAGCAAGCAGCCATCATAGAGCGCAGCACAAAGGAGCCACTGATTGAGCAGGCAGAAGGGTGAAAGGCAAGAAATGCAGAGATTTAGAGAAGCTACTGTGGTGCGATGGCTAATGGATCAATGGATCGCTATGTTAGCATTTAAAAGCACAGAGAAAACGGATTTAGATTTTTATTTAGAGAAGGCAGACATTAATATGGATGATTAGTCAACTATATGAAGCTGTTTCGTAGCATAATCTTATCTATAAATGATCAGATCTTTATTCTCTTCTACTGACAGACTTAACCTTAATCAGAAATGTACATAAATAAATAAAAACAAACTTAAATTATTCAGGATTTTCTTTGAGGACTAAAAATGCACCAATATAAAAATATAAGATGTTTCGAAACCACTGAAACCTGACTGGTTCTGGAAACCCTTCTAGTGAGATACCAGGGTACTAGTTTCCTCCAACTGTTTGGAGCAACCCTCCCCCACATGTTGCTGCACCCTACTGATTAACTGAATTCTAAATAAAAAATGCTTTATCTAGCTAATAACACAAACTCGGTAGATCCCTTTTAGAAGTTTTAAAAAGTTCCATCCGTCACTTTTTACTGTATATTTTACACATGCTGTTATCCAGACTACAAACTCTATTAAAAAACTACATAAATAGAATTTATTTGTTTGTGTCTTTTTAGCCACTCTCTTGTTCAGGGGTCGGCAAGCAGGACATTACAGCGAACTCACAGTTTTACGTCGGAAGCTGCGATTCAAACCCGTTTTACAGTCATATATAATTATGATTAAAAAAAAAATAAGAACAATAATAAAAGATTTCTACCAAATTTAGGATCAATAAAATAGACAAAATAGTTCCGGCAAAATTTTAAAAGATGAAGAGAGTTGAAATCAGTAATGTAAACTTGAATAGCATGAACGTATCCTTGTAGTGAAACAAGTTTTTGTAAACCTATAAACTGCTTATTGAAACTTTTTTTTTTATTTCCCTAAAATCTTTCAACAAGTTCTAACAATCAGTATTTCCTTTTATTTTAGCATTAAAATTAGGACTGAAATTAATAAATTATTGACATAATCTAAATAATTATTGACATAATCTAAATAATTATAATTATATATATATATATATATATATATATATATACACGGCAGTTAAGATAAAAAAAAAAAATACAACTTTTTCATCCGTCAATATGTTATATCCCGAACTCCACTAGTGGAAAAGCTTTAGCTTCACTTGGTTTAATTCAATAAGAAAATCTGGTTTAAGGAACCTTTGGCTCTCCGATTATTAATTGAAACAATAAAAGACAGAATAATCGATTAGCTAAATTATTGTTAGTTTCAGCCCTAATCAGAATAAAGTTGCATCTCCGTTTTAAACAAAAGGATTAGATCATTTTTTATTTGAAGTATGATCTTGTGATGTCATTTCAACCACAGCCTATGATGTTCTATTAATAAAACACATTTCCAATCTACAAAGCTGCAGCTGAACAAAAACGTTTCATATCAGTTTTCTGATGTTAACCCTGGATGGCGTGAGGAGTACTTACGACTGGCAGGCGAAGGCCATCCCACAGATAGGGATACAGCGAAAAACACCCTCCCAGCGCACCAAATAGACCTGCCCTAGCCACCAGCCGCTGAGCAGCCCATGTTTGAACGAGGATAGCACCATCTGAGGGGAAGGAGGTGGGGAGGAGGGGGAACGGGGGTTACAGCCCAGACCAAGTGAACACAAATGGACGGAGGACACAGAGCGAAAAACAGGAGGAGGATGGTTTCCATTTGGACAGCTCCCTGATTTTTGACAGTTTTAATTAAGGGAAGAAAATCACAGAACATGTATGAAGGAAATAAAAGAAAACTGCATTCTGAGCGAAAAACCTGCCTGGTTCAAAATCAACAAGATGTAGAATGAAAATGATCCAAACTGAAAATAATTTAAAGAGTTTTAAAGAAAATCTCTCAGGTTTTTCACCAGCATGCGTTTCCCACATCTTGCTCCTTTAAGTGCCTAAAGAATAAAAATCCACCACATCCAAACCCAGGATGCAGGGCAGCAATGAAACATTTCATCAAACCCCTCTGCCTTGTTACTACTGCCACCAAACACACACAGCTCAAACCAGGAAAGGATGGGGATGAAGGGGAGGAGGTTCAGGTGGGGACATGAGGAAGAGTTCCAGGGAGAGCAAAGCTTCCTCCGCTCTCTGCCCCTGCCGTGCTTTATTTGGAGGGGGGGGTTACTTACGGGTGACAGCAGAAGGTTGTGGCGATAATGGGCAGGCACTGAATGACGCCCCTGAAGCGCCACAGGTGAACGTGCTCCACCCAGGAGCCCGTGATTATGCCATAGCGCAGAGACGACAACACTATCTACATCACCAAAAGCAGAGACAGCGGTGGGAAGGAGGGAGGGAGGTCAGCACATGTTAGGTCACGGAGAGGAAAGGAAGGGAGGCAGGACAAGAGAGGAAAAAAGAGGAGAAAAAGAAGGGGCCGTTAAATGGAGAAGGGTGAGAGAGGAGATCATTGAGGGGTGGATGGAAAGAGGGAGGGAAGGAGATACATCTATTAGAGGGTCAGAGAATCAGGCCGGGTCGGTTCTAAAGCTGGACTCACCTCTCCAGGCTTCTAGGTTAAAAACAAGCCCCTCACTTCAGATAACAGAGAGAGCAGGACAGGGACTTTAAACTGAGCTGTATGCACAAACTGTGTTTTCACTTAAAGAGAAAATAAACTAAAAATCAAACCAGGCAGAAAACTGATGCTGGACCGTCTCAGAGGCCTCTGCTGCAGAGCAGGGGAGCTCTGCAGCAGAGGAAACTCTGTCCTCAGGTAACCTGCTCTACTATAGCAGCACTTCTAAAAGATAAATGCAGAAATGGATGTTCCCTGCAGTCAGAATGGAGTTAGAAAAACTCTAAATGTATTTGTGGAGATGAACCACAGAGGGATTCTGGATCACTTTAAAGTCATTCAGAATCATCAGATTCTAGTTTGGACATAGATACTTCCTCCAAACAGGATTTGTCTGATATTGTTTACAATTTTTTGAGCATAACGTATTTAATTGTTACATTTTTCTAAACTTCTTCAGCCTAAAGTGCCTTGTAAAGTTTTCATTCTTCCAGGACTTTTTACATTGTCTTACATTTTAACTACAAACTTATCTTTACTTCACAGAGATTTTGTGCGACTGACAAGCTAATCAAAATATAAATGCTCTGAGGGGTTTCCTTTTTTTTTCTTACAGCTAAAAATGTGAAAAGCGAGCCAGTTTTGATGTTTTTGAATTTAGCCTTTATCTCTACCAACTTTTGATGTTTACAGAGGGGCATTTTATCCAGTCTTTACAAAGAGCCAGCTATAATATCAGGAAAACATGGTAAAACATTGCTGAATTTTCATATAGCAGTTGCAAGAAAATATTTAACTTAGCAAAGTTACTGTTTCTTTTCCTCAAGTTAACTGGATACACAGACCTCATACATAGGAAAGATTATTTCCCTGTTGGAGGAAAATGAAATTATTGTTTCCCATCAAAACTAACATTTCATTGAAAAAGTCGCAGCTGCATCTGAATGTAAGGCGCCATGGGTGGCTCCTTCTGTACTTTTATCTTTTTTAACATTAGTGCTCTAACAATCAATTGAATGAATTTGGATAGAAATATCAACCAATGATGTGTCAGAATAGCTGCTGACTGGAGAATATAAACTCTAAAACAGGTCATTGGCTGAAAGAACTACCCACTCAGTAGTAATTAGGCCAAAACTTACAAAAATTATAAAAAAAAATAATCTAAAATTGATCTAAGATGGAAAAACCTTTTTTCTTTAAATACACCAGAACCCCTAAAGCAGTAAATCTTCACCTGGTTTAAATCCCGCAATAAAATCTACTAATAATGCCTTTTACATTCTGATTATTGTTTGATTTTTTAAAAATCTAATTGATTTTTAAATTTAAAAAAGAAATTTTATTTGCAGACATATTTCATGCTGTACTATGAACCAAAATCTATTTCCTTGTTTTTACCATCTTGGCCAACAAAGCTGGATTTAATCATTTAGACCAGCTTTCACAGCAGTCAAAGCAGCTCTTTGCAATACTAGCAAATATTGACGCTGTAATAATGATAAATGTGCAATAATGTGCCAGCCTATCTTAGCTGGCTGTGGGCTTTGACTAGGCCATTCTAACACATGTTAACACTGACAAACATGCAGCTCTGATGTTCAGTTAAAAGAATATTCTACCAGAGCGGCGTCTCTCTGCAGCTCCTCCAGGACTGCTTCTGATTATTGCTCTCTTTCCCTGGACAGTCGATGTATTCTTAAAAGCTTGCTTTATAACCTAAGCAGCTTTAAACTGCTCCATCATTTTCTCCCTGACCTGTCCTTTGTGTTCGCTGGTGCTCATGACTCTGTTTGCTCATTAAAGTAACAAACCTCAGAGGCCTTCGCACAAAGGTACCATTTAGAGATGAAATAACACAGATTTCTGTTTACTAAAAACGTAGCAGTGGGCTGCAGAGGAGTTTTATAAAGGAGTATCACGTTAAAGAGGGATAAATACAGAAATGGAAACACCATCATTTCCTTCCTCTTTGCGAGAATCTGCAACTCTCTGCTGGTTGCTCAACTAAAAGTAAAGTTTGTGGTTGCAATGTTAAAAAAGGAGGAAACTACCTACAAGGATCTGTAACTGTAGGTTTAACTATTTCACAGCTTCCCCTACAACGAAAGTGAGTTGCAGTTTACATTTATCAGCAGAGAAACCCTCAGTGTGACAAGGCAAACAACTATTTAATTTCCTCTACAAAGTTTTCTATAAGGTTTTGTTCTTGGCTTCAGACTCTAATCAATGCAGAGTGGATAATTAACTAAAATACAGTTAAGTTCAGTAGAAACAGGAATGCAACGATGGCTCTAAAATATGTCAGTAAAGCTCAGCTTTCATTCAAGCACATTTAACACTGAAACCACATGTGGAAAGACGGATCATTTAAAGAGAACATGTTAGAAATGTTGTGGTATGAAATACCACAGCTTTCCTTTAATAATAATAAAGAAAAAACAGAAAAATCAAGAACTCACTTTATTTTATCGACTCTGAGGTTATTTCTTAGACGGATTGGAAGTGAGATTTAAACCAAAAACCAGCGCAGCAACTGTTTTCTGCCTGAATGATTTAGTGCGGATTTGCTCTTTAGAAACAGGAGCAAGACAGCTTCTTGTTAGTAACAAATGCATCAGTACTACAGAGCAAATAAGAAATGAACCCACAAGGCAACCAAACAATATTTGTAAAAACAAAACTAGAAGCACAACTGTAAAGAAAGACAAGATTCATTTTCTTTATAAAATCAACATCTTTAAAAGATCAGAGACAAATATAACAATAAGTATTACAAGATGAACCAAAAAATAATAATAATCTGCAACATTTAAATGGCTGTTAGTCCATGATGGTGTTAAAAGTTATGATTTGCACTTGCAATAACTCATTTGAAGAAGTGTAAAGCTTAATTTTAAAGACAGCAACCGTTGCTGCATTGGCTTCCATTCAGCCATTCAACAATAACTGAAATACTATGACTGACAAATGATCTCTGACAGATTCCAACAACATTTCTGCAGCATTTTTATCGACTTTGTTTCGCGTTGCAGCCNTCAACAATAACTGAAATACTATGACTGACAAATGATCTCTGACAGATTCCAACAACATTTCTGCAGCATTTTTATCGACTTTGTTTGGCGTTTGCTCTAAGGATGAGGAACACTATGATGAAGAGTGGCTGCTTTTCTCAATAGATGTCAAAGTTTAAGTAAACAGTGACAAAAATCAGCTTAATCTAGTGGGATTCATATTTCCTTAGGAGATTTTAGCATGCAACTTGCACTTCTAATTAACCATAAAACAAACAGATGCCAATGCAATAAATCATAGCAGATGTATTGCATTGGCATCTGTTATGTTTTTATTATAATTATGTTAACCATAACAGCAGAAAGAAAAGAAGACGAATGGAACTAGGGCTAAAACAATTAATCGGATCGATTTATTATTGAAATAATCAACTAATTTAGTCATTTATTAATTGTTAATTGAAGTAAAGAGACCCTAAAACAGGGGTCACCAATCATTTAAGGCTGAGGGCTACTTTTATGGCTACTGAATCATAGAAAAGGCTACCAATACTAAGCTATGAACAAGAGGGGTCCATGTTCACCTAAACTTCAACCATAACAAAAAGTTTTTATGGTTAACTTTTCATTTCTAATTTTCTTTTAAATGTTGTCATTTTCATATCTCTATAAATGCTAAAATGCCCTCTATAATCAAATAAAATCTGTCTAAGTCTATAATTACTCTGATGAAATGCTTGATAAATGATTAAATAGAAGCGCAACAGAATAAAATAAAATTTCTGACTTAGCCCACTGGTGAGTTGTTCTGTGTTCAGAAGACGTTGAGGGCCCCGTATGTGGTCCTAGAGGGCCCCTTGGTGCCCGCAGGAGCCGTGTTGGTGACCCTTGTTCTAAAACATACCTTTAACTAACAAAGCAACTGTCCTACAGCAGAAATCTTAACAAAATTCAAAAATACATATATAAATATTTTGCATTTAAGATAATAAATGTATTTTTGACTGTCACTACGCTTTATCCAGAACTCATCAACAGGAAAATATTTAGTTTCAGTTTAAATCTGTAAAAACTCGTCTTTAAGGAACCTTTTTCTATGCACTTTTTATGCATCAGTTTTAATCGGAAAAAAATACATGAATTAAAAACAAATGAGTTGCAGCCATAGATGGAATTATCTTTTTCATACTTTTATCTTTA